TCCTCGCAAGTCAATTGCACTTGACTCCTTGCACTTGCCACTTGCACTTGACTCCCTGCACTTGCAACTTGCCATGGCTCCTTGCGCATGCAACTTGCACTTGACCCCACGCACTTGCAACTTGCACTTGACTCCTTGCACTTGCAACTTGCACTTAACTCCATGCACTTGCAACTTGCACTTGACTCTATGTGCGTGGCTCCTTGCAACTTGCAATGATTCTCATGACTCCTTGCAATGACTCCTTGCAATGACTCCTTGCAACAATCACTCCTTGCAACAATCACTCCTTGCAATGACTGCTTGCAACGACTCCTTGCAATGACTTTCATGATGATGATTCCTTGCAATGACACCTTGTACTGACTCTCATGAGAACAACTCAAGTGAACCCAGCGGAAGAACCTTTCGTGATGCTTTGGGGAATTAGGGGTCAAAAAACTTCTTCTCTTAGATTTCCTGCTGAAATGACAACTCAGAGGGTCAAAACAAAACTTGTCAGGGATCACTAGACCACGGTTGGCCCGAAAGCATAACATCGCAAGTGCGGTCGGCCCAACGCTGCAGGAGGCGTTCTTTTTTCCTGGCCTGGCACATGCGCGGCAAACTTGTTTAGCCCCGGCCTGGCACATGTGCAAGTTGCTCTGCGCAAGCTGCGAGTTGCTCTGGGCAAGGTGCTCCGCGCAAACTGGTCTGTGAAAGTTGGTCTGCGCAAGTTGCTCTGCGCAAGTTGCTCTGTGCAAGTTGCTCTGTGCAAGTTGCTCCGCGCAAGTTGCTCCGCGCAAGTTGCTCCCTGCAAGTGGCTCCCTGCAAGTTGCTCTGTGCAAATTACTCCGTGCAAGTTGCTCCCTGCAAGTTGCTCTGTGCAAGTTGCTCTGTGCAAGTTGCTCTGCGCAAACTGCTCTGTGCAACTTGCTCTGCGCAGAGGGTCGCGCGGGCCACAAAAAACCTCGAGTTTACCACGCCGATCCCCGCAGAAGGTCGCGCGGGCCAAAGCAAAATCGCAAAAAAAACTCGAGTTTTTGCACCTCGACCGCGCCGATCCCCGCAGAGGGTCGAATTTCGTAGAGTGTCGTCGGCACTACCCCGCGCCCTAAGAAGAGATTTGAAAGAAGAGATTTTAACTCCTCGCAAGGCAATTGCACTTGTCCCCTTGCACTTGGAACTTGCACTTGGCTCCTTGCGCTTGCAACTTGCACTTGGCTCCATGCACTTGCAACTTGCACTTGGCTCCTTGAACTTGCAACTTGCACTTAACTCCGTGCACTTGGCTCCTTGCAACTTGCAATGACTCTCATGACTCCTTGCAATGACTCCTTGCAATGACGCCTTGCAATGACTCCTTGCAATGACACCTTGTAATGACTCTCATGAGAACAACTCAACTGAACCCAGCGGAAGAACCCTTCGCGACGCTTTCGGAAAAATTAAAGGACCGGACAATCCCACATGCGCATTTTTTCAGTGAATGGTTCTCTGGTGGCCATGCGATAATGACTGAGTGAGTGAGTGAGTGAGTGAGTGAGTGAGTGAGTGAGTGAGTGAGTGAGTGAGGGAGGGAGGGAGTGAGTGAGTGAGTGAGTGAGTGAGTGAATGAGTGAGTCAGTGAGTGAGTGAGTGAGTGAGTGATGAGTGAGTGTGAGTGATTGTGAGTGAGCCAGTGAGTGAGTCTGCCCCTGCCACGAAATCGGCACACCAAGTCACAAAGCGCTGCACCTGCCACGCAAAATGGGGGGCCCAAAATGCGCGCAGTGTAACAGCAAGCCCCTCTACAAAGCATGAAATACTGGCCCTGCCACGTTATCGTACGCCCGTGCTCACCGAATGCTGCCCCTGCCAAGAAATCTGCACGCCAAGTCACAATGCGCTGCGCCTGCCACGCAAAATAGGGGGGCCCAAGCGCGCGCAGTGCAACAGCAAGCCCCTCCACAAAGCATGAAACGCTGGCCCTGCCACGTTATCGTACACCCGTGCTCACCGAATGCTGCCCCTGCCACGAAATCATGCGCTGCGCCTGCCACGCAAAATAGGGGGCCCCCGAGCGCGCGCAGTGTAACGGCAAGCCCCTCTACAAAGCATGAAATGCTGGCCCTGCCACGTTATCGTACACCCGTGCTCGCCGAATGCTGCCCCTGCCAAGAAATCTGCACGCCAAGTCACAATGCGCTGCGCCTGCCACGCAAAATAGGGGGGCCCAAGCGCGCGCAGTGCAACAGCAAGCCCCTCCACAAAGCATGAAACGCTGGACCCGTGCTCACCGAATGCTGCCCCTGCCACGAAATCATGCGCTGCGCCTGCCACGCAAAATAGGGGGCCCCCGAGCGCGCGCAGTGTAACGGCAAGCCCCTCTACAAAGCATGAAATGCTGGCCCTGCCACGTTATCGTACACCGGTGCTCGCCGAATGCTGCCCCTGCCAAGAAATCTGCACGCTAAGTCACAATGTGCTGCGCCTGCCACCAAAAATAGGGGGCCCCGAGCGCGCGCAGTGCAACAGAGAAATAAACATGCAGAAAAAGTGAGGAAAAAGAGAACGAAAGAAAAAGAAAGAGAGAGAGAGAGATGTTAAACTACAGTGAGTGCATGATACAGTTGCATGTGCACTACACTGGTGGTTGATACATGCTGCAGGCCTTGAGCCTCACTACCGCTGGAGAGGAAACAAGGGCTGCGGCAGACTACATTTGCTTGTGATAATAACTACACAGCATTTGCACTTGTATGGTAGCGGAGCTGAGACACAAAGGGGAGCTCCAGTAGTAACGACTACAGTAGCACCCCAGTATGCCCAACTACTACGACATGACAGCAGCAGACTGGCAGGCAGCATCAGCAGGCATACCACCGGCACAAACTACAGGAAATAGGTGCAACAACAGCAGCAGCACACGCAGAAAACGATGTGCAGAGACTACACAAGTACAAACTACCACCACCATACTTCAGTGGTGACTACTCCAACTACGATGAATGGAGATTCAAGCTACAAGCCGACTTGGGACTCATAGACAACGAGTTCGGCCAAATACTACGAGCAGCAGATGTAGCTACAAACACAGTGGTAGACCAACACCTGATCAATGAGGTACTACCTCACACTGCAAGAGGCAACAAGCTCGTGAACCTTGCACGTAACCTACACCACATCCTCATCAGCATCTGTCAGGGCCCAGCGTCTACAGTGGTCAGACAAAACCGCTACACAGCCAATGGTTGCGAAACACTTTTGAACAACCGGAGCGCAGTCGCGTGCGCGCTGCAAGGCCTCGCCACATGTGTCGAAAATGCACAGGCTTGTTGCCACGCAGCCGCGAAGCAACGCAAAAGCGGGGCGACCCCGTGCGCCAAGCCTCGGTCAGGCGAAACACGTCCGCAGGCAACCCTGCAGCCAAGGCAAGTGAGTGCAACCAGCCAAAAGATAGAGAGCACAGCTCACACACGCGCGCTTTCACAAGCGCGAGACCGTCGCTAACTCAATCGACGCCATGCTCGGCACTCGTCGAGAAGGGCGTTCGCAACCCTTCTGCAAAGCCACAGCCTCAGCCGCTATTATCCACACGCGCGTGCTCGCACGCAAATGAAGGCCATCACACCGAGATGCTCCACGATTCTCATCGTGCTGCTCTGCAGCCTTACTCAATTGAGCCTCGGTTCTTGCGCAATTCTTCATCAAGAACTTCATCCGCAGTCTTGGGACTATTTAGTGCGTCCCTTGGGAAAGTAGACTTTACCGCTGTGTAAAATAGCAGGGGGTTGATGCGCTGCCAAAACCACACCCGAGCTAGGATCCTTTTCCCGCAGTCGTTTGCAGGAACTAGCACCAACAAACTGGAGCATGTACAAGGGAAAAGTGTCGCTCTTATTCTGAGCTTGACAGTAGTTGTGAAAGCCATTGGGTTGCCTCAGGCGTCTCAGACTGTTTGTTTCTCTCCGCGCGCAGTTGAGTCATCTTAGCGTGTGCCAGCACACAAGTAACTCCACCGCCTTCCCGTCAAGCAGAGTCGCCCACAGAGGGCACAGGCTGCCTGATAACACTACATACAGAGCCAATCAACGGATAGATAGAAAGAAATCTGGACACTTGATAGGTCGTTAGAAACATAGAGAGGGAGAGATAGGTTAAATGTAGACAGCGTCGTTCCTTTCTTTCTTGCTTGGTTTCTTTCTTTCTTTCTTTCTGTGTTTATTCCTTCTGTTCTTTTCGGTTCTTTGTTTCTATTCACATAGCGATATCCCTACTGCACTCATCTATTTCTCTAACCATCTTTCAATCTGTACACTCGATCTAGCTGCTTACGCATCTATAATTCTATTCTTTGCTTCTGCCAATCATGTATTTACCATTCGCCTATTTGGAAACGAAGAAAAAGGAAGAACAGAAAAGACAGAGGACGAGGCTCCTTGTTCTGCGTTAGTCTCGCCAATCCAAGTTATGTGTTAACTAGCATGCGCCAACATGGGGTTCAGCACGTTGTGGCAGAGCTGCGCCTCGATATTAAGCAAGAAAAACCATTGAGCTCGCCATGAGCTTGCCTTAACGTTAACTTTGTCTGGAGACTCACGGAAGCCCGGATCCAGCAGCTGCAAGGAAAGCGTAGGACCGCTAGATAGTTGTTTGGCGACAGACGCTTTGTCTGCCCAAGCAGCGTCTGACATGTCATGCAGAGCGCCAGCACGCGCTTTGGCTGCTCTCGTCTCGGCCCTTTACATGCAGTTGCAGCCAGCTTCGCTGTTTCGAGTGAACGCAGTCCACAACTGTGGTGACCACTGAAACACCTCTGACTGGCATCCGACTCCTTGGATCTACTGGTCCAATCCACTGCTTCCCTCTCGTATTTGTGTGGTAGATTTGAGGCCCCAACGCAGACTTCCCCTTGACGCTTTACAAAACGCCGATCGGCAGCCGAGTCGCTTGCTCTACCAGCAGGAGGTGGCGCAAAAATCTAAATCAGGGTTGGGCATTGGTGAATACAACGGTTCGGTGAATCATGTGGGCTGAATTGCCCAACCCTGGTCCAAACCATAGATGTCCGCCAGATTATGGTCCAGACTGACAAGTCATGTCGCACTGAAAGGCGAGCACAAGAGGCAAAGGCCAAGCCCTACTTCACATAGAGTTGGAGTTGGGCGACGAGTACTCCGATGAAGACGAAGCTATGTTGCTGAATTCCAGCTCCTTGCTCCTCAAAGTCCTAAATTCCCCGAGGCTGAGCAGCAAGTAAGACGTGCCGGCCACTGACCAGGAGAACAGAAAGGAGAACCTCAGTTCGCAGCCTAGGAGCGCTGGGTGGTATGAGGCAACATGTTTGCAGTTTGTAGGGCCCAGGCCTGTGGGAAACGACAACTTCAGTGACACAGCACTTGCCCCTGTGCCGCAAACGCGGGCTGCAGCGCCAAGCATGAAAAGACACCTGTTTCAAGAACACATTTGTCTGTGGCTCAAAACACCGGTACAAACAAACCCTGGTAAGTGGAAACATGGGCCACAACCTGCGTAACCCCTGCTGTTTAATTTTGAGCCACACCCCTTTCAGCCCAGGCACCCTGAGTACAAGTGGCCCCACACGGGGCTCACCAGGTGGCCTGCAACGCAGGCACAAGGGAAGCAGGAGAGCCTTCGCAATAGATATGGTTTTCTGACTCTTTTCTAACATGTCAAAAACTTAAGGGGAAATAGTTGGTTGGTCCCCTGCCTGCCGATCCGCCTTGGTGGATCAGCGCGTCCACGAAGCCGGGGATGAGGGGCGCGGCGCCCAGCAGAACCGCCAGCAAAGCCTTCCAATTCACACCCGTCTTCGTGTAAAGCTCCTCAATGGCTCGGGAATCGGTTGTTGGCTGACTGAAAAAAGCTGGGCATGTCCGCTGTCAGGGGACCCTTTTGAACAGCAAGCCAAAAGGAGCTACCGTATTTTGAGACAGCGTTCCAAGCAGGGTTCGGGAAACTATTTGGGCCTGGGGGAGGGGAGGGCCCTCACGATGAGGACCTACAGCAGCGAACCCATGAGTTCATCGGTAATACAATCAGTATGTGCACCGCACATTTTTTGCAAGGGCCTTTTCCTAACTTACATATACAAATAAGGCTCGCGCTACGGCCCTTCACTTCAAGACCTGGCATGTCAACATTGAAACAATTCACTGCATCACCGCTCGAATTCGAATTTCCCCCCCCCCCCCCGTGCGCTCAAGGTTCATGAGGGACCGATAGGCTTTAAAAATCACTGCAGCATCTTCTTAGACCCGTTGGCGTGGTTTCCGCCTGTGTTTGAGCCGTTTGCCTTTCCTCCCTTGCTTCATCAACTTTCCCCTTAAGAGGGTGGATGACTCAAGCCGAAACCGCAGAGAAGCAAGGCTTGCAATCTTCTTTGAACAAAGGCTCGTGCTAGGCCTTTTCTGAACTGCAGAGACCTGATGACGGAAAGCGCTTCTTTGAAGCGGTTGAGAGTTGGAGCGGGGGGGGGGGGGTTTAGGCTGCTCGGCCTGATTTGCAGAATGTCGCGCCCAAAGAACACGGCTAAATTCCGGGCGTCGTTTCCATCTGCTTCTCCTTGCTTGCTGACTGCTTAAGTGTTTCGAAAGCAAAGGCACACCAAAGGTAAACCAAAAGCAGACCAAAGGCAAACCAAAGGAGAGCCTCAGTACACCAAACGCGAACCACAAGCAAGCCAAACGCAAACCAAAGGCAAACAGAGCTAAACGAAAAGCAAACCAAACGTAAACCAACAGCCAACCAAGAGTACATTAGAACAAAGCAAAGGCAAAGCAGAGGTAAGCGAAAGTAAACCAAATACAAACCAAAAGCCCCCCAAACCAAAGGTAAACCAAAAGCAAACCCAAGTTAAACCAACAGCAATCCAAAGCAAAAGCACACCAAAGGTAAACCGAACGGAAAGCGAAATCAAACCAAGGGCAAACCAAAAGGTGAAGAAAAGGCAAACCAAAGGTAAACCGAAGCAAACCAGAAGCTGACCAAAGCAAACCACAAGCAAACCGAAGCAAACCAAAAGTTAAAAAAGCCGGCCAAAAACAAACCAAAGTCAAACCAAAGGTAAACCAAAAGCAGACCAAAGGCAGACTGAAGCAAACCAAAAGCTGACCAAAAGCAAACCAAAAACAAACCAATGGCGAACCAAAGGTAGACCAAAACGAAACCAAAGGCAAACCAAAAGCAAACCAAAAGCAAACCAAAAGCAAACCAAAGGTAAGCCAAGGGCAAACCAAAGGCCAACCCAAAGCAAACCAAGGGAAAACATACGGTAAACAAAAAGGCAAACCAAAGCTAAACCAACAGCAAGCCAAATGAAAACTCAAAGCAACCCAATGGCAAACCAACGGTAAACAAAGCAAACCAAGGTAAACCAAAGGCAAAGGAAAACCACAGGCAAACCAAAAGCAAACCGAAGCAAGCCTAAAGCTGACCAAAAGCAAAGCAAAAGCAAACCAAAGTTGAACCAAAAGCAAACCAAAAGCAAACCAAATGTAAACCAAAGAGCCAACCAAGAGTAGACTAAAAGCACAGCAAGGCAAAGCAGAGGTAGGCGAAAGTAAACCAAATACAAACCAAAAGCAAACCCAAGTTAAACCAACAGCAAGCCAAAGCAAAAAAGCACACCAAAGGCGAACCATAAACCAAACGCAAACCAAAGGCAAACCATTTGGGTGTCTTTTCCATCTGTCCTGGAGCTGATCGCTCGCTGCATTTTTGTGCAAAAACCTGCGTTTTGCAATGCTTTTTCGAGGCGCTTTCCGCGTTGAGCTGGCTCGTCCTGCGTGCATTTTTTGCCTTTGCTGGGTCAAAAAAAGGACGGCTATTTCTCCTTAGCCGTTCTTTCTGTTTATTGGCTTCCTTGCTTGCTTACTGCTTGCGTTTCGCGCTTGGACCTGCCTCGGGGACGCTGGGGGCGCGCTTCTGCGCGGACGTGTTTGTGGGACACGAGCAGTACAGCTTTCGTGTCCCATCAACTTGGTGTTCAGTAAGTACGCGGGATGATGGGGATGCCGAGGAGCCTGCGCCGAGAGCTCCTTTGAACTGAGTCGAGCTGTTTCCTGGCGTGTCCACGTGTGAGCATTTGTTTTGGCTTCAAAAAGACGGCTAGATTTTAGGCGTCTTTTTGGGGCGCTTTTAGCGCTCGGCGTTCACTGCAGGTTTGGCAACTTTGTGAGGATTTTCTGCGATGCTAGGTTTCCCTTGGTGAGAAGGGAACAACTACTTGATGCCAAGGACTTCGTGAAAGATGAACGCTGCTTTGCTGCTTTCTGCTTGGCTGTTAGGACTTTAACTTTTCTGCAAAGTGGTTGGCCTTCCTCTAACCCCACTAACACCTTGGATGCAGTCCTGTAATGATGGCCATTCTCATTTGTCATTGTAGGACTGTGACTTTTCTTGAAGGCTGCTTTGTCACAGTAACAGGCCACGAGAAACACCATTGACACCAACAAACACTTAGTTTTTAGCCGTTGTTGTTCCCCTCAACTCAGACTTGCGCCGATGGGGACTCGGCGCGACCGGGGGGAAGTGCGCTTTCCGTTGTTCGCCGAATTGGTTTGCAGAATGTCGCGCCCAAAAAAGACAGGTAAAATGTGCGCGTCCTTTCCATCTGTCTGGGAGCTGCTCTCTCGCTGCATTTTTGCGCAAAAACCTGCGTTTTTGCCAAGCTTTCGCAAGGTGCTTTTGTTGCCTTTTCTGGGCCAAATAAAGGAGAGTATTTCTCCTGAGCCGTTCTTTTTGTTTGATGGCTTCTCCTTGCTTGCTTACAGCTTGCGTGTTTCGCTTGGACCTGCCTTGGAGATGCTGGAAATGCTGGAGATGACGTTTTTGTGGGACGCAAGCGTTGCAGCTATCGTGTCCCATCAAATTGGTGTTCAGCAAGTACGCGGGATGCTGGGGATGCCGGGGATGCTGGGGATGTTGTTCGAGGAGCCTGTGTCAAAGTGCTCTTTTCGACTGATTCTGGCGTCTGCTTTTTTAAGCGCTTGGCGTTGAATGCAGGCTTGGCAACGGCCTTTGTGAGGATTTTCTGCGATGCTAGGTTTTCCCTCGGTGAGAAGGGAGCCAACTACTTGACCGGCAAGCCAAACGCAAAACAAGGGCAAACCAAAAGGTAAACCGAGGCAAACCAACGGTAAACCAAACGCAAACCAAAAGCAAACCCATAGCAAACCAAAGGTAAACAAAAAAACAAGCCAAGAGTGCACCAACAGCAAACCAAAAGGAAACCAAAAGGAAACCAAAAGGAAACCAAAGGCAAACCCTAAGCAAACCAAGCGCAAATCAAAAGGTAAACCAAAAGTTAGCAACGGCAAACCAATAGCAAACCAATGCAGGCTGACCCAAAGCAAACCAAAAGCAAACCAAACTCAAACCAAAGGCCAACCAAAAGCAGACCAAAGGCAACCAAAAGAAAACCAAAAGCAAACCAAAGGCAAACCAAATGCAAACAAAATGACAACAAAAAGCAAACCAAAGTTATCCGAAAGCAAGCCAAATGTAATTTAAAAGCAGACCAAAGGCAAACCAAAAACAAGTCAAACCCAAACTAAAAGCAATGCAAAAGCAAGCCAAAAGAAAACCAATGGCCAAATAAATAAAGGTAAACCAAAACGAAACCAAAGGAAAGCCAAGAGCAAACCAAACGCAAACCAAAAGCAAAAGCAAAGAAAAAACAAGGCCAAAAGCAAAGAAAAAGCGAGCCAAACCCAAACCCAAAGCAAAGCAAAGGTAAGCCAAAGGCAAACAAAAGGTCAACCCAAAGCGAACCAAGGGCAAACCAAAGCAAACCAAATGTACACCAAAAGCAAAAAATGCAAACTCAAAGCAACCCAAAGGCAAACCAACCGTAAACAAAAAACAAACCAAACGCAAACCTAAGGAAAAAAGAAAGGCAAACAGCAAACCAAAGGCAAACCCAAGGCAAACCAAAAGACAACCAAAAGAAAACCAAATGCAAACCAAAAGCAGTCCGAAGCAAACCCAAGAGCCAGCCAAAGGCAAACCAAGGGTAAACCCACAGGCAAACCCAAAGCAAACCAAAAGCAGAGCAAAGTGGAAGACTGAAGCAAACCAAAAGCTGACCAAGAGCAAGCCAATAGCAAACCAAATGCAAACAACAAGAAATCCAAAAGCAAGCCAAAGGCAAGCCAAAAGCAACCCAAAGTCAAATCACCGGTAAGCCAAACGCAGACCATAGGCAAACCAAAGGTAAACAAAAAAAACAAGCCAAGAGTGCACCAACAGCAAACCAAAAGAAAACCACAATTCAAACCAAAGGCAAACTAAAGGCAAACAAAAGGCAAACCCTAAGCAAACCAAGGGCAAACCAAAAGGTAAACCAAAGGCAAACCAAAAGGAAAAACCAAAAGGTAAACCGAGGGCAAACCAGATGCAAACCGAAGCAAACCAAAAGCTGACCCAAAGCAAACCAAAAGCAAACCAAAGTCAAACCAAAGGTAAACCAAAAGCAGACCAAAGGCAAACCAAAAGCAAACCAAAGGCAAACCAAAGGCGAACCACAGGCAAACATAAAGATACACTAACTGCAAACCAAAAGCGTGCCAAAGGTAAACCAAATGTAATGCAAAAGCACAAAGCTAAACCAAACGGAAAGCGAAATCAATCCAAAGGCAAACCAAAAGCAAACTGAAGCAAAACAAGGGTTAACCAAAGGCAACCCAAAGGCAAACCAAAGGCAAACCAAAGGCAGACCCAAAGCAAACCAACAAGTAAACCAAAGGTAAACCAAACAAGTTTGTCAAAGGAAGTTTAAAAAGAAACTTCCGTAGTACTGTAACTAAATGAGCTAGCTGCTTCG